ACATGTCCAAAGTGTAATTATTGTAGGACACGTGTCAATACACTATTGATGAATAAGTGTGGATGACTCCATAAGTCAAGCCATCATGGCTCCATAGCAAAATTATCCTCCAGTTAATCTTCTCTGCCACTAGAATTTGGCCCTTTTTCAGCACTGGCCTCTATGAGCACCTAATAAAACTTTGCCAGAAATTTCTCTTAATTAAGATTGAAGAGGCAGAAGAATCTTACACGAGAAAATCAGGGTTTTTCACGCTAGAGAATCCCTGGATAGCATAGTTAGTTTAAGAATCAACGCGGCGCACTTTACCCAACAATGATTTATGACCGTAAGAAACCTACAATATTCATGTTAAACTTTTCAAGTAGAAATTGTCAGATAAATCATGGAAAATGGTAGGTAACTTTGATAAATAAAATTAAGTACGTTATTCTTTGTACATTAATTTATCAAATTTAGAAATTCCTATAAGGGTGTATATGTATAACAAATCAGCACAGAGAACAAGGTTTGAATACAACGTGTATCACCCAACTCACGACACACAATAGGAGACGACAAATTGGGAGACACACCCAAAGGCGGTCTAGACACACAACCCAAGCAAGGCAAATGAGCTGGCACCTCGGTCTATCCGAGTTAAACCAAACTACTACTAACCCAACTAGCAATCATCATCATCAATGTCTAAAAGAGCTAGTTACCAGAAAAATTTCTACACCAAACACACTGTATGAGATGCACAACAGATTACTCCTGACAACGAGTGCAGCCATTGAAATGCTGTCTTCTTCTTCACTCCATCAGCTTCACTGCACTTCAATTCACCGTCTCTATTCGTCTCCTTCTTCAGATTCTCCCTCAATTCAATCATTCTCATTTTTTAGTTTCACTGACAAAGGAGTCGAATACGGTTCCAGAACGACGCCGTTTCGTGCAATTTCATCTAGAACGATGTCGTCTGTGGCGTCGTCTGAGCTCAAGGCGGAGGAAGCTAGGGTCCCTCCTGCTATTCCCCCGCCTAATCCTCCGATCACCAAGGCAAACATTTTCTCTTGATGTTATTATTAGTTCATGCTACCTCTGCGTCTGCGCTTGCTTTTGTTTTTTGTGGTTTGTGTAATTTGTCAGAAAATGCGGGTAATTAGCGCCTTTTGTTGTAATCGAAACATGGTTTGCGTTGCGGTTTTCCCATCATCTGGCTGAGTTTTGTGTGTGCTCTTGCGTAACCACATAGAAATAGTGGGGTGAGGTTAACTTACGAATTTATAGTTTGGCATTGTATACGGTCATTTCGAAACTAGCTTGGTAATGGGCTTAGCGGATCCTCCTGTTTGGTTTTGAGTTGGCATGTGTTGATTTCGTTTTGCATCTTAAGATGAAATGTGTTCTATGCCTAAAGAGAAGATAGAAAAGAAGTCATCTCTATCCTCTTTTCGAATTTTCGACTTGTATCCAACTAGCATGTTCGAGCTCTACACTCGTTACAACTTTTGATCACACTTATCACAACAGTAATAATCACTCGATTGTGTATTATGTTCAGTTCAAGATTGCACTTTGCCAGTTAATGGTGACGGCTGACAAGGAAAACAATATTGCTCATGCTCGTGAAGTAATTAAGGATGCTGCAGAGAAGGGTGCTCAACTGATTCTTCTTCCCGTAAGTCGGAGCTGTGTAAATTTTACTGTTTCTTCTCTAGTAATCTTTTTTGTTAACTTATTCTACCGCTGCTTGCTTGTGGTAATAAAATTATGGTATTGAATAATATTTCAAAACTTAGTTGTGAGAATTCAGAAGAAATCCATTCTTTAGTTAGCCGTGATCTTCAAAAGAAATTCCTGTAACTTGAATTTTTTTGGGGGGCTATTATCATTTTATGAGATTAACAATTAACTTGCAGTGCTCTTTAAGCACTTGTTCGTCTCATTGTTTTCTTTGAAAATATGAACTACTAATATTTGTTTTAACATACTATCCTTCGGTTGATGTCAGGAAATATGGAATAGTCCATATTCAAATGATTGTTTTCCAGTATATGCAGAGGATATTGACGCGGGTGGTGATGCATCTCCTTCAACTGCTATGTTATCTGAACTTTCTCGTAGTCTGAAGATCACAATAATTGGTGGATCCATCCCTGAACGAAGTGGTGATAAGGTGTATAATACTTGTTGTATATTTGGCACAGATGGAAAGCTTAAGGCCAAGCACAGGAAGGTGTGTGTGTCCAGTTTTCATTGAGTACCAGAAAAACACGTAATCTTGGGTTCATTGCTGACATTGGCTAACTGAACGTATATGTGTTTTGACTCCTCATTTCAACTTCTTGGTTCCGTGGTCATTGTCTCATAGATGATTCTGATTCATTTTGATTTTTACAGATTCATCTCTTCGATATTGATATACCTGGAAAAATGACCTTTAAAGAATCAAAAACTCTTACAGCAGGGGAGACCCCAACCATTGTGGACACAGGTGTTTCTTTTTCTTTTTTGCTCTCGTTTTTCGAGAATTAAGATATTTTTTCAATAAGGAGTCATGTTGTCAACTTGAGTAATGTGTTTATGCTTGAAGAAAAGCATGATATGTTATATGCAATGTGCTTGAGTAACATTTATTGAGGTAAATGAAACATATTCTCTGGAGTTTTTTCAAAGTTTCCACAACTTTTACAGCTAAGGAGTCGTGTGATTCGCTTACTTTCTGAGGTATAACCTTCGCCACGACTGGCTTAGCTCTTCGCGCTTCCCGCAGGTGTCTAGTAGTACCCGAAGCATTGGCATTTAAATCAGTCCCATTGAAAAAAGAAATGAGTATTCGAAGGATCATGTGTTGAGGTTCTTGGGTTATGAAACTTTGTTATTTTTTCCATGTATTTGGCTACCACTGTATGAATTGCAGTAAAAGTAGTTCTTCTTTGTTCATTGCTAAGGCTTAATAGTTGTTATTCTGGCTGCCTGTTGTGGAAGAAAAAACTTTCAGATCGCGTTAACGTGATTGAGGTTTTTTCAGTTGTGTTGATTGACTTATGTATGATGATTATAACCAGAGTTTCTTTCATGTAGATGTTGGTCGAATTGGTATAGGTATATGTTATGATATCCGATTCCAGGAGCTAGCAGCTATATATGCAGCCCGAGGTATTATTTTTTGTTTTGATATTCACATAGATTAAGATATTCTGGTTTCACTTCATTTGTCAAGTAAAGATTTTTTTTATTTTTTTATTTTTTTTTGGGCTAGGATTTTGTTTTGTACCATTATTGTTCATTACACAGGACTAGTAAAAAGGGTATGTTCTTTCACTAGTGTCAAGTATATTCAGGCTTGATGTGTCTGTGATAATTCAAGCTTCATCTGGCGATGTGATTGTGTATTCATGAAGAATACATCATGTTCCTTGTAATGTAATCTTCTGTACTGAAATTAATTACCTCTAGCTTTACTCGGAAGATTTTCCTGTAGAACTGCTTTACCTAGTTTTCCCATTTTATCTGCTACTTTTCTCCATGCATTATGTCATTTTAGCACTGAAGCTACTTCGATTATACTTAAAAACTTTAAAATAGTTAAACAAAACAGCAATTCTTGTTCACATGGGTAGGTTTTCCTAAAAATTGCCAACTTTTTTTTTTTTTTTTCATTATTGTTAGGCGCTCACTTGATTTGTTATCCTGGGGCTTTTAACATGACTACTGGTCCCCTCCACTGGGAGTTGTTACAACGGGCGAGGTAATAAATTATCCAAGCTTTTGCCTACCTAAAAGCTATAGCTTAAGTCTTAATATTTCTTTTGAGGAATTCCCTTGGCAGTTTATGCAAATGTTCCTTGAGGAATTCCCTTGGGAAGTTTGGGTTGTAATACCCTCCCCTCTTTCTCCAACATGGAATAATCATATCTTGCTAATTTGTTTAGCGTGAGCCTTGAAAGGTGCAGTGTTCTTGAAGGCTGCATGAATTTGATAAAGTTCGTACAATTTTGCTCAACTATTTATTACTTGAAGTTAAACAAGCGTAGAAAATTTTAGTTCTCCTTCATAATCTTACAAGTTCATTATCCAAACACAAATAAATAAAAAGCAAAGAAAGGAAGTATCTCAGCTCTATCACATGAAAATCCAAACATATGCTAATATTGTTGGAAAAGTGATAATCTAAATGTAGTGCTTGCTGTGGGGTGGTAAGGCTCCAGCAGTAAAGATGAGACATTAAACTGGTTATTGATCTTGCTTACTGATTGCTCCTAAAATTTACTTGGCACTAACTAGAGATCCCAGCCTCGTTAAACTACTAGTGGAATGTGTACCATTCTCGCCAAGTATTTATAATTTTCCTTCGTTGTATGTGGTTTAGGTTATTCTACTGACATGCTTTTCTTTTTTCAATCCTTCAGGGCAGCTGATGGTCAGGTACTTCTTTCTTTGGTTCCTTTTTCATTTCCAGAAAGCGTACAAGCTTTAGCTGTTAAATTACTTTTTCATACTGACAAAAGGGAGTTTTGGGATTGTTTTCCTGGGGCTTCATGCTCAGGCTATTATCGAGGACTTCGGAAAGCCGTAATCCTTTTCGTTTCCAATTAACAAATCCTAAATACCTTAGCGTAACATTGGGAACAGATTGAATCAATGAGTTTCTACAGTGGTGTAGGAATAGTTACACAAATTCAAGATGCTATGATATCTTGTTGTTTTATGTGAACTTTTTCTTTATCCATGCATTAATGCATGTGGCTTGTTACTCCACTGGCTTGAAATTCAGGGCTTTCCTGTTTTATACAAAATCTAAATCTTCCATAACGGATAATAGTCTGCAAGGCGTTAATGCATCTCTGCATACTCTTGTAAAATAAAAATAAAAATAAAAATAAAGATAGTATTAAGTATTTTTTAAAAAAGAATTTGGCTTGACGTGTGGTCTGTAACTCTACCTGAGTGAAACTACAATAATTTTTTTTATTTTTTTTTTTTCTTTTTTAATCACATATTACATTTCGTATGTTTGTTGTATGATATCAAGTGAAAACTACAAAATTCTTAACTATCATGTTCATTTGGCAGCTGTATGTAGCTACTTGTTCACCAGCTAGAGACACTGGTTCAAGTTATGTGGCTTGGGGGCACTCCACTCTTGTTGGGCCGGTGAGCATGCAAACTACATAAGGCCGCAAAATCTATTTATATGTAATTCTCTATTGATTTTGATTTTGTTCTATCGAGGGTTCTAATTTTAACGATGATTAAACAAATGACTGTATCTGGCAGTATGGTGAAGTTCTTGCAACCACCGAACACGATGAGACGACAGTTATAGCAGAGATTGATTATTCCCTTATCGAGCAAAGAAGGTATTTTTTTTCGATAGTCAAGCACGATCTGCTTTAAAGTACATGTTTCTCCTCTTGCCTTACTGCGTAGTAGAATGAACAGTCCGATTATTTCATCTTTGCAATAGTTGGCAGATTTTTAATTGCTATTAATCCTGAGCTAGTATTTTAAATGCATGGATCAAATCCACAAAGATAATATTAAATACAGAATCATCTTCTTTATTTGAACTCAATATAGCAGAATCTTTATCCCTGGATCATATTTGTCCTCATGTTGTTTTGTCTCTATATGATGTGTGCTTGGAGGAAAATGGTCAATGCATTCAAAAAATGATGATTCTGCTGGATTTCTCAATCCCCTCTTAGTGAATCAAAACCCGACCAACGAAATCTCAGGTTCAAGATACTCTTACCAACAGGCTTTGTTGGCTTGTTGCACGTGTGATTAAAACCTTGTGTGTTAAGGTCAATGCATTCCTTTTTTTTCTGCTTTTGATCTGCACGATTATATGATGTGGTCAATTTATTGGAATTTTGTCGGGGACATGTCGTGACATATATTCAAGTTTTACAGAGCGTGCGAGTGAAGAAATCATTTGTTTTTTTTATTATTTCCACACTAAATCGAAAATGCAATTGAGCCCTGCCGATTTGCTTCTGGCACTAATCCGAAAAGAACTCACGTAAACAAATTTTGTGTTAAATATTTGGACTACCAATCAAATTTTGGATGTGCAAATGAATTACGAATTCCCTCTGAAAACATTTTGACTTCTGTATTGCAGAACATACCTTCCATTTCAGAGCCAACGTCGAGGGGATCTTTACCAGCTCGTTGATGTTCAGAGGCTGCATCAAAGTTCGACCAGTTGAAAGTATCCCATTTACTCGGAGAATAATCAGTTGGTGCAACTGGAAATAATAAGTTTCACGTTCAAAAGACCCGACCAGTTACGTAATTGTCGTTGAGGTCAAGTTATTACCGATGCATATGCAGTAAACTAAATAAATGTCTTTTAGTTCTAATGTCAATTAGGAAGTTCTCAACACTTGTCCATGGAACTATAGTAAGATGGTCGATTTTTCAAAAAAATATTCGGTTTTGATTTCTGAACAGATCTGATCTGCTCCTCATGTTTTTCATTTTCTCTTTTCTCCTTTTTTATTTTCTTTTACTTTCAAGCTTTCTGGTTCTCACCAAGGCTGAGCCACAAAAACTAGTCTAGACAGGAAGTGCTCGAGCTCGGGCTCCAGCCTTTATCAGCCGAGCTAGTTTAACTAAACGGGTTCGATCTATTTTTTTAGCCTTAACAAGCTTTAAACAAGCTCCAACTCGCGGCTCTTCCACCAAACGAGACGAGCCGAGCCTAGCTCGAGTGTTAACCGGTCGAGTCGAATCGAGTTCACCAAGGCTTGTTTTGGTACAACAACACTCTACTCACAAACATGAGAAAAAAGTATTTGTAATTTAGAGGATTATCACCCTTTTTTTCTCATTAATTAGGCAAAAAAACAAGAAAAAAATTTAATTATTCTCTCTAATTATTAATTCTATTGGCTTCTTGAGTGGACTTTTTTAATTAGGTTTGTGTTGGAAACATGATTGCATGGAGTGTCATGATACTGCTGGTTGGTACTCCTAAAATACACATCTCCCCATTTAATTCCATTGTCTCTCTGTGTGTACCAAACACTCTTAAAAACAAACATAGCTCATTGGGGGTGTTTGCAAAACAGTCAAAGGTGGGAGAACATGTGGATTAAGTTATGTCTGTACTTTTGAATAAATAGTGTAATTTTTTGGACAAATAAATAAATAAAATAAGTAGATTTTGATCTTGAATCATTTGGAAAAATAAAAAATAAAATAAAAAAATATGGAGTTATTTGTCTGTACTTGGGAACAATAATTGGCTGTGTATACACGTGGGTCTTTTTCAATTAAGCTACTCATATGGGATGCTCGAAATTATAAATAAATAAATAAATAAAAGAGAAAATCCCAATGTGCAAAATAGACATGTCCACGACCGAATCGGCCTCGAACCGGTCCCGGCCCAAACTGGCCCTGAACTGGCCTGTTAAGGGCATGTTCGTTGAACCGGATCCTTAACACCGCGGTTCGATCCTGGTTCATAATTTTATTTTACCCGTCAGTCTGGGCCAAGTCGGGCTGCGGGTCAGGCGACGGGCCACGGTGTTAATGTTTTCTAAAGACCGTACTGGCCCGTGACCCCATCGGGTCGGTGAACAGGCGATTCGGGTCGGGTCGGGTCGCGGCCGGTCAATTGCCTGCCTCTAGTGCAAAATGGTGTAAATTTGGGTACCATTTTCTTTCCCTTTTGGAAATTACACTAAGGTTAACTGGCACTTGAAATAAAGAAGAACATGAAATTTTCCCTTTCCCTTTGTTTTCTTAATAATTAATTACGGCAAGACTCATGGTACTCTATAATAATAATAATAATAATAATAATAAAAATAATAATAATAATTTATTTACAAAGTAATTGCTACGTAAAGCTTTCTATGGCAAAGTCTCTGTTTTCATGTCATAACTCATAATACCAACGCGTGGTAAAGATCCTTTATGCAGCCTTCACTCACACGCACATACCCAACTCTACCCCCCATAGGCCCCCACCCTACTTCACACGTGTGAACAAACCCAACATGCGATTTCTTTGTTAAATAATGCTATTTTAATTGGCATATAATATTTTTGGCATTAAAAAATTGACATAATTGATGTATAATATTAGAAGATGTTGATTTTAAAACTGATATGATGTGCTAAAAATTATAAAATCTTTGTTAAGAATATGTTATGTTTGTGTAAAATAATTCTTCATTTATCCATGCGTCTTTCTATCTTAAAATCTACTAAACGATTTCCGCATACAAATCATTTTCATAAACAAATCAGAGTGTTGGAACTACATGTACGATATTTCAAGATTAGTTTGACTAGATTCGAACGAGCACTTGTCGAGCCGAACTGAAATGAATCAGTCTGACTAGATTCGAACGAGCACCATGTCTAGCCGGGCTGAAATGAAACTTGATCCGACCACATCCCCACACACACAGACGGTGTCTAACAAAATAAGCACAACATGTTACAATATGGGATTGTATATATGGACAAGCCAAACAAAGAAACAAATCCTCATCAATCCTCATTCATCCAACATGATACATGTCTTAACAAAATTAACACTCCACATGATCATATTTTTTTAACATGCCAAACTTAAATAAGATAGTATAGATTTGGTTTTTCCACCCTCTACCCAACACACATGGTGTGTAGCTTGTGAAGCATATGTTCATTTTCTTATAGACCATAGTTCAAATAATATATCTATATATATATATATATATATAGACACACACCCTCTCCAATAATCATTTTTTAGCCCCACCCAAAGTTAAACCAAAAACACCCAAGAGCGCTTGGATGAGATGGCTTGAATCTCTTCCAACTTAACCAGTGGTCTTGTGTTCGAGCCCTGGGAATGCAGCAGTGTTAAAACTCTTGAGGGAGAGCTTTGCCGCCCTTGTGGTCCTACCAGGCTCGATTCCGA